AGTAATTTGTCACAGAATAACGATTTTAAATGGAGTAATGGATCGTTTCATTAGGCGGTGTTGGATGCGTTCGCAAAAGCAATTTGATCGACCCATCTCTACTACCACCATCAAGCAGTAGCAAGAAAAGCCTTATTTACGGCAAAAGGTGTTTATCATACCTCGGCATCAATGCGGCTTCGGTTAAATTCGACAAGCGACGGAAAATGCGACCAGAAATCAACTATGATTACGAAACGATAATGTGGTGAATGTGTGATCGTCTAAGGAAAGGAGTGCTGATAGGGATTTGGTGCGATACTAATGTGAACGAAATCAAACGGCCTCATTTAACAAAGATAGCTGATCGACGAATGAGCCACCTAAGCAATCAGATACTTAGTCTGATCAGACATCAGTGGCCTCAAAAAGTGATGGCTACGATTATGACTAAAAAAGCTTCATGAAAAGTGTAGCTTGACAAACTATGCCTAAAACGAGACGCGCACAGCATCGCCGTTACTGTACCACTGTGGCAAACTATGCAAACTCATCCACTGCCTACTTCCGGTGCTGGCAGATTTAGTAACCTTGTTTGTGTACGATTAATGTGCGAAATTACGGTTTAGAAAATCCAGCTTTCATATGCCTCGTACCAATCACGCCAGGTCATGGTTGCAGACATGATACAGTAGACGGAGTCGTTGTCAGCACCCCCAATGGCTTGCTAGTTGTCTGCCGAGTAAAGGGAGTAAAATAATTAATTTGCCTCCTAACGAAAATAGTCTTTGTCGTTTCGACGTAGGTTGCTTGGGTGCAGAGCGCTGCCGTCGTCGACCATAGTCCTGTAGTCTCAGAGTGGCGCATCTGAATTTGTACGTTGCCATCCAGAATAATAATTCGTCTATATCGCCATTGACTGAAACTAATTTGCTTTTCAGTCCAGACTCACAATGCTTGTTTTTATTCCACTACTGTCTGAGATTCAGCCTACGCCAAAGCCACCCTGTAAACTTAAGCAGACAACAACGCTGATACTTCTGCGTAGAGGTAGGCTTAGGAATAATCTAGCCAAACCACGGCATTACCGGTATGGTGTGAACCCCAAATCAGTTTCAACTATTGCCGATGTAAACTAACCCATTCCGGTATGGACTGAATCACGAATTAATTTTGGTCTATAGCGGTATAGACGGATCACCACTATAGAGGGCGGCAAATATAACTAGCAGGTATTTATCTGCGTCCATGCTTTTATTCAACCTTCATGTCATATATCAAGGGAGACAGCTGTACAAGGAAACTATGAAGTCACTTCAAAACCGTGATTCTCGCTTAATTATACGAATCTTTCGTGACGACTACGCGAAGCCATCAACTCAAGTCAGAGTCTCATAGCCGTGAGGTTCAACCTCGATATTTGGCAAGTATATTTTGCCATCAATCAGTCGATCAATTTAACCCTCAGGTTATCTTTGACATCGTTGGCAAGCTGCCGTTAAGCAAAATACTCGGCCACTGTTAAATTGCTGACTAATAGCTTTTTTTTAAATGATTTTGTTGAATGGGACGGCGTCGCTATTGTGGTTTTGTAGTCTGTGATGAACATGGAGGGGGAATGCCAAAATACAAGTACAGATGAGATGAAGTTTGTACAGTGCAGCCCCTCGACTAAGGTGATTAAATCAAGCCATTTTAAAATTAAAAAAAATTTGGCAGTAGCTTCATGATGCGCTCAAAAAATTACCGATCAGTGAGTAATTTTGCAACGATTAGTTGGCACAAAGCATATGCTCCATCAAATGCAAGATGTATGGGTTCATTATGAAGTGATTGATGTGTTTCTCACGCGAAAACTTCGAGGGAAACATCAACCAAACAACCACCGGAAGAAGCATCCATCCGGACGATGATAATTATATTCACAGTTGGCAGAGAACCTTATCAATGCATTAATAGTCACTAACAATAAACTCTACCTTTGGAATGAACATTCCACGGATTTGTCACCAGGCGGGTTTGAAAATGGTTTATTTTGCTTTCTTTACTATGGGGTCAACTGTAGGCCATCCAAAGCAAATTCCCGAATAACAACGAGGGACTGATTGTCACTCAGCCACATAACTCGAGATATCCTGCAAGCAGTACTCCTGCTGAACCTCGAGTATGCCGATGAAAAGGCAGTGCTGAACGACTCTACACAGGTCTAATGACACTCATAGACGCTGAGAAGACGAAGTTTATGAAAACCTCCAAAGCGACCGGCAGTCGAAGGATGTTATGG